AATTTGGATTCACCCTGCTCAATTATCTTTCGTCAAGTTTTTGAGAAAATTTTGGAAAAATGTTAATTATTAATTATTAATTACCATTAATAATTGAAAACCGACCTCAGATTCGGGTTCGCCGTGTTAAATTACCATAGGTCAAGCTTTCGAAAGAATATAGAAAATTATTTTTATTGGTCTAGCTCATGCTGTTTTCTGATTGACTTGCGCAAACAAACGAACTAATTTTGAATATTTTCATTCGTATAACCCTTTCTTTCAGAAAAGAGAAAAACAAGCCTCAGATTCGAATTCCTTAAACACAATTACTCACTGGTCAAATTTCTCGTAAAACATATTGCTGAGTTTTCATTGGATTAGTGCATACTGATCTCTGATTAGCTTGAATAGCCGGACAGGCAAACTTTATGCATTCTTAAGGTCCGTATAATCCTGCATTTCAGAAAAGGGAACTAGTCTTAGGTCTATACTACTCACCCTCATTGGTCTTTCGTCAAGTTTTATATAGGACAATTACTTATTACTAAAAATTAGGATTACGAATCATCCTAGCCATCTTCCAAATTCTGTTGAAACGCAACAAATGTCCTTTTCAGCTCTCACTATTGATCACAATTCGAAAGATTTTTCATGAAAGGAAATGCGCATCGAAAGGCATCAGTATTCACCCACCTCCCATTTACACTCACCACTTTCTATTCCAAAAAGATATAGAAGTTCTACTAAATAAAGCCGTATTACATGGGTAGAAATCTGATCGAACTACAGCCACATCACAAAAGATTCCATTCGTTAGATTTCGAGGTCTCATAATCTAATTGGCTCATAGCTATTCTGCAAACATCTGATTGGCTAAGTTCAGCGACGACCGAATCCAATTAAATCAAAGTCACATTCAGAACAAATCTCGCTGCTTGAGACTAGAAACTTCTCAATCTGATTGGGTAGCAGCGACGCGAGAAACAAATATGTTAAAGTACTGACCGCCACATAAGAGTTAAATGTACCGCAGAGTTATGTACACTAGGATGGTTTACAAAGACATCTTAACTTAGCTTTTTAATAGTTTAGCTTTGCTGCGATCTGATTGGTTTGGACAAACAAACGAACAAACAAACTTTTAAGATTTTTATCGAGCCTATAACGCTTTCTTTCAGAAAAGCGTTTTCGCTGAAAACTCAATCAGAAGAATATTACTGAGGGTGTGGGTGTGGGTATGGGATCTGAGTGAGGGTGTGGATGTGGATCTTGTCGTCTGCCACGCACCAGTCCCACACTCACATCCACACCCAAACTCACACCCACACCCGCACATCGACACTTGTACTCTCTATTCTTTACAGAAACATAACTTACTAAATCAATAAAGCTTCGTCTAATATATCTAATTTCCGTTCACATAATCTTCTTATCCTCTTATCAAGACAATTTTATACTTCAAATCTGATTTCATCATAAGATTGTCGTGAGAAAAAATACACGAGCTGCGACTGCCGGACAGACCAGACCAGAAAACATGCATGGCATACACAGGCACACGATAGAGAGCTAAAGTTTCTCATGAATGAACTAGACCCACTTTTCATTCGCCAATGTTTCTTCATTTGAAGTCGGTTGTATTCGAAAAAAAACCATGAATCCATCACATTTCTGATTTAGTCAATGCAGGGCGATTGAAATCTCAGTGTTTCCTTAGAATGAGAGGAAATCATCTTCGAATGAGATAGAAAGATCTAAGAGTAAAGTCGAAACACTGTTGAACCTCAGAGAAGAGCATGTTGAGAAAAACTTCACTCATACAGCGATGCGTTAGAGAAGTATACGTAACTTCCATACCACCCAGCAATGTTGCAACTTGGCGGCAAAAGTTTTGAAGATCATAATAATGTATCATCCTACTCAAATAAAGATCATTACCTCAATAAATAAGATATTTTCAGAGTTATAATGAGAAGAATATGCTTTAAGGTGCTGTAAAGGCTTAGAGTCCCCAATAGAGTCATACTTATTCAAAATTGTTAACATGTTTATGAGACTTCCAAATCGATGCATTTCAAGACTTTGATACCGTTGAAATTTTGGAATGCGTTTGATTTTGATAGTAATATATATCTGAGCAGACGATAATTCTGAATCGATGATAGAAGAATAACTAGTGATCAATATAGTGGAAGTATAAATACTTTATCGCGAGAAAATCAGTGTCTATATGTTCTGTTTTGGCTAGCCTGTTTAGATGGAAAAATCTAAAATGTCAAGCGAACATCACGAATATTAGAGAGAATCAAATAGAGAAGGAAAGGAAAATATCTACTGAGCATAGGGGACAAAACAATCAAATGTATGACGGCGAAGTAAGATTGAACTGTAATGATCACTGTCTAATAGTACCTGATGTTAGGTGAGCATTGTTCTGGCTGTTAAATCGACTTATCAAGTCGAACTTGTTTTTAAGTGCGAATAAATATAGGGCGTATGTGCAGCTGCCAGAAATGTGAGAGGCTCTTTCACATAGCAATGACGACACTGATTGCTTCCGAAGTATTGTGACAGTCGCATAGAAAATTGGTGACTTGTTCGTAAGGAAAGGATAACAAGGGTTTTAGTGAAATCCTTGATCATTGGACATGCATTTGCTGCGTAGATTAGGTGGACTGTTTTCTCCAGAGAGTAGAACCCTCTCCTGTGAAACAATGAAAAGGTTAAAGACACAGCTAGATTCTGCTAGAACGAAAAAAATTCAGAAAATAGTACCCCAATCTAAGATCTTCTTTTACACAGTATCCACATACTCTGTTTACTCATTGAAAGTTAAAGGATGTAAAAATTCAGTACTGTATAAATACGTTACATATACTCGTTCTCTGTTCTTTATGTGTATCGAAATCGTTTCATAAGCAACGTGTGAATCTTAAATAAATACATTTGCGATAGAGTATGTAAAAAAAAGAAAGAGATAGCATATTACCTACTTTAAATAACGAACGATAAGAAACGAAGAAATTTATGTTGATGCGAAGATAAAAACGAATCATTAGACAAAGGAAGCGAACAGTGTTGTCTACAGAAAATCAAACCGAAGCAACAGAACCTGAGTATAGATTTTGAGTCAACTGTTACATTATATTCATTTCGTTGTGGTAAGTAACTTATGACAATAATGTCTAAAGTAGATACGTTTTTATTAAATAACAAATGCATAATGCCAATTAGAGCTGCTATACTACTATTACTTTTTATTACTTTTAGTAGTAGTAGTTTTATTTTACTTCACTATTATGATGATATTAAAACTCTTATTTTTGTCGATTATCAAAATATAGATTAGTTTTCTGCTACATTATTAATTATTACTTTCATTATTTTGAAATTTATATTGCTTGTCACCAGTGACAGATAAAAGGATATTTAATTACTTATTGCTGGAAATAAAGTAATAAAAATTCAAAAGTATTGATAATGATTAGTAATAAAGTAACAAGTAATAACGAGTACTGACTTATTGCTTTAATAATGTAATAGCATAATAATAATAGATACAGTATGAAAGAGAAAATATCGTACTTGTACATAAATATTATTGATTGACTACATATTACCTTATAGATCCAAAATCGCTGGATACTTTGAATAACAATAGACCAAAGAAAGATATCCCATTCGATCTACAGATTCTGTCTTTACATTTTACATAATTAGCGTAATAACTATTTTTCATGTAGACCACTGCGACAATGAATGCCGCTTTTCGATTGGAACATTTTTTTTCTCCTCCATATGCAAAGATATTTCGATATTTCAATTTTAGTTTGATACAAAGATGGAGAGAAGCAAAAAATCTTCTAGTTGTTCAAGGATTCTGAGATCCAGCTCAACAAATAACAAAAATATGGGCGGAAGTGCTAGTATGCACTGGCATAGTCCATAATTCTAATACTAATCAAAATCTTATACACTAACAAAGAGCAAAGCGAAAGCTTCATCATTTCATATATGTAACACTGCATCATAAAACTAAATGAATGTTTTCATTTTTATTGTAATATCCTTTCTAAGGATACACCAGCTCCAGTTAACTGGGTTCCCAGTTGAAATCCGCTCAAATCATTGAATCCTCTTTTTCACTGATAAGTTGTTAGTTCTTAACTGTGTAAACATTTGAACTGAGTACCAGTTTAACTGGTTACATGATTTAATGGGTATTCGAGTCAGCTCAATATCTAGTTAACTGTGTGACAGTTTACGCTAGTATCTAGTTCACTGAAACTAGTGTATCTCAAGTCCTTTCAGTCTATTTAAGTATATACAATCTAGAAAATATACCAACTCTATCGATATTGCATGCTAGCTTAGAGTAATCTAAGTTGCAAAAATTAAATCTGACTTGTTCATAATGCCTTAGCGTGGAAGTAGAAATCGAAAAGATTGTTGTTTTCTTGTTTACTCTTCGCTGTTTTTGAGAGCTTAAAAATTCATCTCGATAAAAAGAGAGACACTTCACCATCTCATAGCATAGAATAATCAAGATTATTACAAACTTTGTGATTTTCAATTTCTCTCTTATCGTTATTTTCTTTATATCTTAACAGTTGCATAAGTTTTCTAAACATCTGAATGCAATAAATTGAATTGGAACTGTAAAAAAAATACGTTAGCCTTATTAACCGCATTCCATATAAACAATTTTTCAGTATAAAACATTATTTTTTTAATATTTCTATTCTTCGACGCCAAAGTGTAAAAGCAAGTATTCTCAAAATTTCGTCGAGTTTCAAAAGTTATACCCTATGAGTTTGTAGAAACGACATTCTTATGACAATGTTTGTACCTTAAAACGAATACTTATTTCTACAGAAGTAAGTTTGAATAAGTGAGTAATATAAGTTTACATATTCCTTTCATTGAATTTCATACCAAAATATACTTTATATGATTTTTATTTTACTTAGGTATTTACCATAATCAATATAGTGGACGATAGCAATACTCTTGACATTATGGAAGCTAATGATATTATCACTGAAACGATGGCATTTGGTCGATCATTTAGATTGGGAATGTTATACGATTGTAGATGTGATAAACTATTTCCGGGTATTTCATTATGGGACAATGAAGTCCTTAAACGTATCCAAGATATTTCTAATTTACAAACACATTCAACTTATAAGATTAAAAGAGAAAATTCACTACATGATAAACTAGACTTGTTAGGAATTGTAGGTAGTCTTAAAATTAGTCTTATTAATGGTCTCATTGACGTTTATGGTTCAACTAACTATATTGATGATCATAAAATGACAGAGCATCAACAACGAATGATATTAAAATATTCAACAAAACTACGTTCAGAACATCTTAAAATGGAAGATTTGAGTTCATATAAAATGATTAATACTGAATTAGTTCAACAAGACATTGCTACACATGTTGTCGTAGGAATAATTTATGGTATTGAGGCTTTTTTCATATTTGATCGAATATTGTCTAAAAATACGGATAGTACTCTAATGGATGAAGATATTAGAGTATTAGTGAATAAAATTCCAAAATTTGCCATATCGAATAAAAGAAAATTATATTTGAATACTTATGAAAAAAAAATTGCTAATTCATTGTCATATGCATTTTATGGTGATTTTACTGTAAAAAGAAATCCAAATACATTCGATGAAGTTGCTGAATTATATAAACAATTACAAATATATCATGGATGGAAAGGTCGAAATGCTGTAGCAAAACAAATCTATCTCTTTCCACTTTGTTTATTAAGCCAACAAAAGATACTAATTATTAATGAAATAAGTAATACTTTATTGAATCAATGTGTTTCTTTTATTGATGATTTACATACATTGAAAATACAAGCAGAATATTTAATTAATCAAGAACATTCTATTGTTTATTTAAATAAAAAATATTTGACAATATTTGCTCAGTATATACATGAACTGGAAATGGACATTCAAAATACGATGAAGGAACTATTACCGAATATTCGTGGTAATAGTATAGATGAAACAGCATTAGATGATTATCTGAAAACAATACAATCATCATCTTTCAATTGTCAAGCACTTCATAAATGGATTAATATTAAAAGACGAGAAATCATCATGGAAGATACATTTGTTCGATCCATAGTAGAAGAAGAAAAAGAATATGTTCACTTATCACCATCTGCTCTCGATGACATGTTAAATGATATTCGATGTGATTTCGTATTTTGTCTATCTTTTCATTTAACAGATGAAAATGACTCTTTTTTAAATGATTTACGTAATTACTTAGATCACAAAACAAGTATACAAAGTCCAAACGAAACTCGAATATCGTGGGTGGAGAACGAAGAAATGATCACATCGAGACGAAAAAATGTAAAACTATTTCACGAATTGGTTAAAGCGAACAGAAGAAACCATAAGATCAGATTTGTTATCAATGATCAATATAAAGACAAGAAACTTGATGGTATACTCATACATTTCTATGAAAATGGCCTTAAAAAAGACTTTGAAATTCCAAGTAAACCTGACAGACCTGTGTCCAAAGAAATTTATCATGATCGTGTTTTGTTAGCGTGGACAAAACCGCCGCATAGTCATGATCATATGTCACAATATAAAATCCTGTATAAACAGAAGAAACACAAACATTGGACATCATCATTAACAGCTATCAACGATCCACAGGCAATCTTGATTGAAAATCTACGTTCGAATGTAGAATATACATTTAAAATGCAGGTGATGTCGAATATTGGAGTTGTTATGGAGAGTGATTCATCTGATCCTATTGTAACAAAACTAGGTATGAAAAAGGTGTTCCTATAATGT